GATGCCGTCAGCCAGACCGAATTCCTTTCCTTTTGCAAGGGGGACAGTTCAGTACGTGACTCAGCTGCTCTGCAATTAGATTTAACTCCCTTCTGCTGTTTGACTAGGTTCCTGACATGGCCGGCTACCCTCACATCCGCTACATTTCATCGGGATTGGATGGAACTTCATTCCGAGGCCCTTTCAGGGGCAATTTTGAGGTTTGTAATAGAATCACCCTCAGCTTTGTGGCGGGACTTTTGCTTCAGGGAATAAGTGGGGAGGGGACCTGCTCTCCTCCTTTTCCTCGGTGACTGTGGTTGGGGGACAGGCAGGCGTTCCAGCTTGAGGGGGCTTTTTTCCCTGGCTTCTGCAGCAGCGGCCGCCCTCCACCTGCCTGGGAATGTCAAGTTGGCTCAGGGAAGGCGGGGGGGGGGGGAGTGTTGGCGCCAAACGGTCAGGTCCCCCGACTTGAGCCTGGCTGTCCGTTGGGTAAAGGTGGCAGAGAGGAACTGAAGTATCAGATGCAGAGAGTTAATGAATTCCCCGCTCTAGTTTATGACGTGGGGAGGGCCCGGCAAGCGCCTTTCCCACGGAGGGTGGGATGCTGAAATGCAGCCCTTTCCCTGCGGTCCTCACTAATCAGGCTTAAGCAGCCCTGGGGAGAACCATCCCAGCCACAAGGAGGGGGGCGGTCTCGCTTGCTGAAGTGACTTTATGGAGGCTGCCTGCAGTCCTTGGGGCTCGGAGTCACAGGTCTCCGGGACCCTCCTTGTGGGCTGTGCTGCAGTGCCCCCCACTTCATCCGCCTTGAGGACATGGCCAGGGCAAATTCTCCCAGAAGAGCCGTTGAACAGTAAAGGCTGCTGCCCTGCGTGACTTGTCAGATAAGTTGCATCTGAATTAAATTGGGGGGAGAAGATTGAGATTGCAACCTCTTTTGTTCCACTTTGATTCCAGGAATTAATCCATCTGGAAGAACGTTTAGGAAATGTGAATCGTGGAGCTTCCCAAGGAACCATTGAAAGATGCACTTATCCCCACAAGTACAAGAAGGTGAGGAGGTCTCAGAGGGGTTTCAAGAACTTCCCCATTGCATGTCCCAAAGCTCCTCTGTTTTCCTGTCAAGCCAAAAGAAGGAGACGCTTTAGGGATTCCTATGCCTCGGAATCTCACACGTTGCTGCTTTTCTAAAAGGAGGCAGATAATCGCAAATGCTTTCTGGATTCCAGCTGTGGAATCTGGCTGCAGAAGCTGCTTTTTCACCAGGAGGGGCCAAGCCAGGCACGGTTTTGTGCCTGCTTTTGTTTATCTGGGACCCCCCACACACACACACCCCGGAGCCCCAAATTGGCCTGTTATTCAAATGGCTGATAATTGAGTGAGAAGGGACTCTGCCCACTCTTCCTTGGCGTTGAGCCTCGGGTTCATTTCTGGTACTTCCAGCGGATACTTTCTTGATGGGAGGGGCACAGGTTGTGCTAGGAATGGGGTGCCTTTCATTGCAGGAGCAGAGCACACCTGTTACTCGGAAAGCAATAAAAAAAAACTATGTCACACTTTACAAATAACAGCCTTATAAATAGGAGGCCTGCTCCTGAAATCAGAGAAGACATTGAGGCTCTGAGTTGGGAGCAATGGCTCCGTTGTCAGCAACACCAGCACCAGGTCGGGTCACAAAGAAACAAAAGTCCGAGCTGATTGAGGCAGCTTGTGGGCGAGCCAAGAGCTCTTCCGTGTCACTGTGAGAACATAATGTAGCTTCATGACCCGCCTTGCGTGGGGTCATTTCCCCCCCCCCCCCATGTGCCTTGGGCATTTTACAGTTGCACAGGTAAATCAGTTTAACAAATACCACAAAAGAAGATCCTGTTCAGAAATTAAAATGAAAAAGAATTTGGATCAACCATCTCCTCCCCGCTTGAAAATAATTCAATTTGAAACAAATACCTGGATTGTCAAAAATGTTATTGGACACTGAAATAATGGTTACCAGAGGTTCGGAATTCAGAAATAGCAGCTGTTGTCCAACTTTATTTTGATATTGTTTAAAGTACCATGTATGCCTAGTGGGTTGGTGTGACAGGAATGATAATTGTGTATAAAACAGATCTCATTCAGTTTGCCAATAATGTCATCTCTGCTAATAAGGTAACAACTGATTGGTTCTCACAGAGGAAACTACACTGCAAACATGATGGGGAAGAAGGAACTGAGGAAGACACCGAGGAAAAGTGTACCATATGTTTATCTATATTAGAGGAAGGGGAAGATGTCAGGTAACTGAACAGGAAATCTATTGGAGATACTGAACTAATCTTATGGGTCAGGTGTAGACCAGGAATTGTTTCTTTATAAAAGTGTACTGCAGAAGGTTGGAAATTTAGAGAGGCAGCTGCGACCAGTTTGTCTCAAAATACCAGCATGGGTGGGTGTCAAAAAATTCCCCTGTACAGAGGAGATGCTTCGTTCCTTTCCCCCAGGAGCCGCCTTTTTTATTCTTTTTGAGGCTGCAGCTCCAGGACCAGTTTAAAGTAGCCTGTTTTGCAGCAAGCCAAGGGAGCTCTCTGGTTTAGCTATTTGATGCCCCAATCTGCTGCAAGAAATTTATTTTTTAATTTATTTTGCCTCTTAGTGGTGTATGCCTTAACGCAATAACCATCGCTTCCCAGCTGGAACTAATCTGTCCAGCCTTGTGCACATTTCAACTTTGCAGTCTTGACTCTTGTCCTGAAAGAGAAATTAGCTCACAGCTCTTGCCCCCCCGCCCCGTCCTTTTGCCAAATTTAGCCACCTGTTGTTACAACAGCCATAGTTCTGGAGAAAATGCCTTGTCAAAAGAGACGGTTTTCCTAATCGGTTACAGAAGCATCTTCTCCAGGGTCTTATTTTTGAAAAACAAAAACTTGATCCGTTGGCCAGCCTGCACACTGCTGATCCTTTCCTTCCTTCCTTCCTTCCTTCCTTCCTTCCTTCCTTCCTTCCTTCCTTTTTAGGCGCCTTCCGTGTATGCATCTCTTCCACCAAGTGTGTGTCGATCAGTGGCTAATTACCAACAAGAAGTGCCCCATTTGCAGAGTGGACATTGAGGCTCAGCTGCCCAGCGAAAGTTGACAGGCTTTGGCCTCCAACCTCTTGCTTTCCTCCTTCCGGGTACTGCAGTCAACCAAAGATGGCCTGACTCGGCTGTGCAGTCGTGGGAAGCATTTGAACCTGCTAGAGTGCCGTTTGTCTGCTCTGTGGTATACCTGATGCTAACCCTACAGTTAGTGTATTTATAAAGCTTATTTTTGGTTTGTTTGTTTAGCCCTTTCAGATTCCTAACCGGTTCTCCCTGTCCTTTTGCATGGATCGCTCCCCATGTTGCATTTCTTTGCACATATTATGGGCTTAGTGACACCCCCCCCCCAAACTTGCAGGCAAGATTATCTGCTTTAGAAAGTAGAGCTGTGTGGCCCTCCCTCTCTTTTTTTTATTTGTCCCTAAAGTCAACTTTCCAGAGTATGATTTCACTCATTACTAACCTCAGAGCCCTTAATTTAATCAAGTCTTTTAGTTTTAAGTGTATAAAGATCAAAGGATATTTTTTTTAAGACATTCCTTAATTAGGAAAAAAAAGCTGCTGTATACCTGTGTGGGGAGGGGCGCCAGGGCTTTGTTGCAAGGAGCATGGCCGGGGCTGCCTGCCCCTCCGCCTGCCCTGCCTGGGAGCCTCGCCTGCCCATCCTGTAATGTCAGACTAATTGGGGGCATCCTCTTGGATCACATTTTTATGTTCTTAAACCTTCAGCACAATGCAGATAACTTTGAATGTCAATATTAAAAACATTTAGACTGCTGTCTGATTGTATGTACCATTTTCTTATGTCTAGCCATTCGAATCGCTAACACAAAAAGTTTACTGCTGTGAACAGCCCTACTGAACACTAAACCTTGGATTTCAACTAGCTGCTCTGTAGATAGATGCAGGCTGATAAAAGAAGTACTAGGAGAATGTGAGGGGAAGAGCAGGGTGGTGGCCTGTCTTTTGTTTCTCGTTCCTCAGTCCAATGTTAAGTTCATCTACTGATCTGCACAGACTGGTTCTGTTAAAAAGGAAAAACCCCTTTCCAAGGATGGAACCAGGCATCGTTTCTTCTGGCAAATATCCATGAATTCATAGATCTTATGAAGGTCCCTGTTCTTTGGGGGATCTGGGTGGTTTTTTTTTTTTTTTTTAGTTTTACAATTAATAAAGTTAGCTGAATCCATCTGACTTTTGTGTTATTTCTCAAGATTGGTGACCTTTGCATTGCATGGGGGGTTCTGCTATTAACGGCGGGGGCGGGGGGGGGGGGTGGGGGGGGGGGCCGGGGGGGGGGGGGGGTCGCTGAGGTCGACCCTCCTGTTCGGAGGCGGCACTCGGCCCAGCGCGCAGGACTTCGCTTGGCCCGCTGTGGAAGCGCCCGAAATGCGCCGCCCTCCTCTCCGAGCAGCGAGGCCACTCCTTGTGGCCGCAACCGGGGCTCAAAAGTGAGGGAGGCGACCGGCCGCGGAATCCCGCTTCTACTCGTGAGCCGCGGCAGCTTCGCCCCCTTCCGCGCGGGCCTCGCCCTCACGAAGACTACAACTCCCAGAAGACCTTGCGCGAGGACTGCAGTCGTGGCGACGCGAGAAGAAGGAAAAAAGGGCAGGGCGGCAGCCAATCGGGCGCGTCTCCTCCAGGCGGAGGACCAATGGGGGCGCGGGGGCTCCCGTTTGAGGCCCGAGGAGGCGGAGGCGCAGGGCAGGTGGGCGTGGATGGGGCCGAAGGGCTTGGGACGCCCACCGGGGGGCCCTTTTGTGCTCTCCCCCACCCCCCGGGGAAGCCAGCCCGGTTCGGGGTTTCTGCCGCCGGGCGGGCTTCGGGCCTTGCGGGAAGGCAGCCCTGGAGGCCGCGGGGTCTCGGGCGCGCTCGGAGCTGGCACTCGGTTGGTTGGTGTGACTGCAACGCTTCTGGCTGCGAAGTATGAAGAGATCTACCCACCGAGTATTGGATTTTGTTTACATAACTGACACTGATTCAAGTCCACTCAGATTCAGGAAATGGAGCAGAGTATCCTGAAAGAGCTGAATTTTGGGCTGGGCTGGCCTGGCCTTTACCATTCCACTCCCTGAGGAGAGTAGCCAAGATATATGAGATGCAGGTCTGTGCCTGGCTCTTTGGGCATTGGGCTGAACTGGGTGCAGGGTGAGATGAGGGAAGAGGCTGCCAGGAAGGTTGCTCTTAGTCCAACAAAAATGACTAGGTTGGTTTGGGCAGAACATTTCTACTGCGTAACAAGTCTAATAAAGGGGGTGGGGGAATAGGTGCACCAAATAACCAAATCTCATCCCTGGATGTGGTTTTTAAGCCGGGCAGCTTAGTTCCTGCTTTGAAGTTTCCAGATGGCTGGAGAGGAAGGAAGGAAGGCAGTAGAGGGAGGGGTGGAGCAAGTGGGGCAGGAATGGAGAGTTTTCTGAAACGGATTAAAATGCCCCTTCAAGGCAAAAGAAGTAGGTGCTCAAGAGACTCAAGGTTGTGGGAAAAGCCCCCTCTGAGGCTGAAGACTGATGGTTGCCTTCAGTCCTTCATTTCCAGCCTTCTGCTTTGATGGAACTAACTCTTGTGGACTACGAGATGATGCATGACAATCCTTTGGAGATTGCAGCTGCGGCATTCTGCCTCTCCAGGAAGGGCTTTTCCCAGGGCCGGTGGGTGTCTCGTCTGCAAGCAGGACCCGAGGAAGCTTTGCACACCCTTCCCCGGAGTTCCCATGGATGCGTCTTCCTCCCATTCCATGTAGTGGGGAACCAGAGCTCCACGTGTCTAACTGATAAGAACAAATCCAGTTATGGGATCACCCTGCACAGCCTGGATCCTGAAGGCCTTTGAGACTCCGGCTGTTGAGGACATCCGGGTGCATAGGCCAGGCTTTCATGTATTTCTAATTGCAGAAACCCCCTTTGAAACCCTTAGGAGAGTTGCCACTATTTTGCTCTGGCTTGCAAAGTAGCAAGCGGGACTTTTAAAGCTGAAGGCCTGCAGGCCACTGAAAAACACCATTGCTTTACAATTCACCTCTTTCAATATCTGTCCCGAGTTGTAAGAGGATAAGGGACCTTTCTTGAACCAACAGTCTCTCTCTCTCTCTCTCTCTCTAGTTCTGGAGCCACAAAGTTGCCTTGAACTCCAGTCCCAAAGTGCAGGGAGACCCCCCTCCCACAGAGTCCTGCACCACAGGAATTGTAGTCTCTATTTTTATTGATGGGAGGAAAGCAATTAAACCAACATGCAGAAGGCCCACAGCAGCACAGACCAGCTTTGGAAACTTCCACCATGACCCGTGTTCCTATGATGAAGTACCTGGGCCCCACATGACATCCCAGCCGCTGAGCTAGGGTGCACCTTAGTACAGCTTTGCCTCTGACTCGCTTCCTTGAAGGCAAAGGGGGAGAGGGGAGGTAATGCACAGATACAGTCGTCGTAAAAGTCAGTGTGGGCCGGCCACATGAACGGAGCAAGACGAACTATTTGCAGCATAGAATACTGTTTTCCTTTGGTCCTGGTGCCTTTCTGGAGTCACAAGCACCCCTAGACAAGACCAGAGGGGAAGAAGAGAACTAGCAGCAGGGCCTGTTTCCCCTGTGAAGCTGCCCACTGAGGATAGTGTGTGCACAGAATATGCCATTGCTGTGTTAGATAATCTGGAAGAAACAGCAGAGCAACTAAAGGCACTTGGAAAAGGAAACCCCAAAACCTGCCCTCCATCATTCTTCCTCTGTCACAGAGCACCTGATGGTTTCCAGAACTGGGTTTTTAAAATAAAATAAAATAAGGGGAATGTAATTTGAACACATTCCTCTTCACAAGAAAAGAGTTAAATAACATAAATAAATCCTGGGCTGTGAGGGCTTCTCATAAAACAGGCTTATCCTCTTCTTAACCTGACGGAGGAACTGAAAGACGCAGCGGCATCTTCCCACGTCCCTTGAGGGCTTGGAAAGGGTCTTCTTGGGGATCCTGGAACCGGTCGAGGGTTTCTTAGGGTCAGAGTTACATCTTGGTCACATAATTATTTGGAAAAAGTCCTTGTTTGCCTCTTAATCGCCCCGTCCACCAGCCTGAAGGATCTGGAAACAAAAAGGACAGTTAGCTGGAAATGACTGCCCGATCCTCACTCTCCCCCCCCCCCCACCTTCAGACTTAGGAAAACGCTTTGCAGTGGGACACAAGGACATTTGCCAAGTCTCGGTTTTTTCCTTGTCTGTTTTTAAGACGAGGGAAAAGGCCGTTTCTGGTAGTATCCAAATGGAGCCGCCTAGTAAACTAATCCAACGCTGGGTCATAGAGTAAAAGGAATGGATAAGTAGGCACAAGCAGAACTGAGGCTGGGAGGCCCTGCCCAGCGTCAGAGGGGGCACCTTGAGGCTGGGGAAGCAGTGGCCACCCCCACCCCTTTGCTTTGGGCAGGCCAGGCCCTTCCTGGGGGCAGAGATGGACAAGGGAGGGGATGCATTTCCTGCGTCTCAGACAATGCAGGACAAAGCACTCTTGACCATCACCTGAAGAGTCGGCAGTCTATTAAAAAACCCCTGGGGGCCGAGATGCGCAGAGGTGGGTAGGCTAACATGGGCAATTAGAGAGCAAGAAGAAAAAGAATATTATAAAATATGGGATCCACTTTATCAATGGCTAGATAGAAAAATCGGAAAATGAAATATATTACAATATAAATACAATAGTAAATATCATACAATAGTAATGATATGCTATGATTGATTATTATGGAATGAATTCCAGTACGAATTAGAACTAGTAAAAACTGAGATTTGCTCTAAAAGGATAATGCGAACTTGCAATTAAAGTCTTAATGATGATGTGATAATCATATAACATGACATGGAAACTTGATTAATATAAATTTAAATCTAAGAGGGAAAGACTATAGGTACTATGCACAAGAAATATTTACCAGCCGACACACTGTACAATTGAAAGCAAATTTTATTTGTTATTTTATGTTTATGTTTGTTTATGTTTGTGGTCAAAAATTTTATATATATATATATATATGTATGTATGTATGTATGTTTTCTTAAGTTTTCGCGGGTACTTACATGTATGGCATTCAGCTTTGTTCGGGTATTTTCCCACGTCATAGTAGTGGTGCTTTTAAAATTGTAGCAACGTTTCAGCAGAATCTCATCTGCCATCATCAGGCTTTTGTATAGTGTTCGTCTGTGAGTTAGACTTTTACAGTGGTTTCAGATTTAAATTTGGGGCAGCCTATTGCTGTGCCAGAATGGTTTTTTCTTCATCCTGGGATTTTCTATTCACCAAAACCCTAGCCACTATAGAAAATCCCAGCCACAGAATCATCAGAGAAGCCATAGAGATTGAAAAAAGACCAGAAAGCATGAACAGAAGAGATGATTCCACCAGGCTGTCAATCATTTGGAAGCCTGCACTCACAAACAAAAAAATCTCCACACCACAAGCCAGGCAAACACCTGGGCACAAACACATCCCCCCTGATACCTCCAGCTCAAACACACCCCAACCAGGCACCCAGACGAAACCCAGCTTCCTAACTAATGATAGCCGTCCATTTACCCGAAGCCAAGCTGCACTAAAGGCCTCCAATAAAGTAACACAATGTTGCCAGCCAATCAAGATACAAAAAGAGCCAAAAAAACAGACAGAAGATATTAGAAGCAGAACACAGCAAACTCCAAGACCAATAAACACAGACCAAGACTCCCAACCAATCAGGATGAAGAAAAAACCATTCTGGCACAGCAATAGGCTGCCCCAAATTTAAATCTGAAACCACTGTAAAAGCCTGACTCACAGATGAACACAATACAGAAGCCTGATGATGGCAGATGAGATTCTGCTGAAACGTTGCTACAACTTTAAAAGCACCACTACTATGACGTGGGAAAATACCCGAACAAAGCTGAAGGCCATACATATATATATATATATATACACACACATACATACATACATACACATACATACACACACACACACACACACCCTGGGGGGTAGGGGTGGGGTTAACCCTCTGGAAGCTCAGGGTTCACAGTATTACAGGAGGATTCGCACCCAGCGCCTGCTGTGCTGCTCTTGCATGAGGGCAGCAGGCCAAACGGCCACCCACTGAGCCCAGCTCATTGCCCCCGCTCCAACGGGCGGCCCCCATGCAGCGGGAGCAGCCTTACCTTCTCGGAGGAGGTCGATGAGGTCGTTGGCGTTGAAGCTGAGCTCGTCGGTGTCTTGGGCATCGTAGGCGTACAGTGCCTTGCACTGGGGGACCTGCGGCTTGGGCTGGGGCTGGGGCCGGGGCTTGGGCCTGCCCCCGGCGGGTGGGGGGCGGCTGGTCGTCTGCCTGCACGCGCTGCGGAGTTACAGAGGAGGGCTGAGTGGTCTGTCCCGTCCCCCCACACCCAAACAGGCAAGCTCTCCTCATGCAGCCTCCGTTCTGCCTTCCCCAGGGACAAGCAAGGGTGGCCATCCGTGCACAGCATCCTTAGGAGGCTCCTTTGCCCAGAGTCCAGAGGAGAGACGGAAGGTGCAGCAACCCTCCAGCCCAACCACTGTCTCTTCGCGCTCAGAAACAACCGCGTGATACAGCCAAAATGGCGCGAGGCTTACCCGGCGGCCCCTTGCTCGGGCACTTTGAGGAAATCCAGGCTGCTGGGCTGCTGGGCTAACCTTCCCGGTCCCACCGAGACCTGCGGCAGTGCTGGGCAGGCCATGGAGGTGTACAGGCTCTTCTGACTGGCCCTTTGGCCTGCTGGGCCCGAAGGAGGCAGCGGCTGCGGCTGGAGCTGGATCACCCCGTTCGGTAGGCCTGCAAGGAATTCCAGGGGACCCTCCTGAGGCTCCCTCACGGAACGGCTCCCCTGGCATTCCTCCCAGCTGTGGGGTTCAACTGCCTGGCTTGGGGGAGCCTTCGCCTTCACGGTCTGGCTCTTGCCACTGGGCCTCAGGGGCCGCTGGGACTGCCAGCCACTTGCATTTAGTGTGCCGCTGCCCCCAAGTCTCCCTGTCATCCGCTGGGTCTGGAAGCCTTGAACAGAAACCTCCCCCTCCAGGAGGGACAGGCGACACGAATCCAAGCTGCTTCCCTTGGCTGGCGTTTTACTTACGGCACAAGCACAGCCGTCGTGGCCGAGACAACGGAGCCAGGTTAAAACAAAGCATGGCTGAGGGCCACCGTTTTGACTCCGTGGCTGATGGTGACTGAGCCACCTCCAAGTCTCCCCTCCACCACGGAGCTGTCCTTGGGGGCAACAGGCCGAGGGAGACCTCGTCCCAACCCACTTAAGCTGCCATGCGCACCAGGCACTTGAGGCGCTCTTCAAGCGGCAACTGGGCGAAGGGCAGAGGGAATCCCCTGCGGGGACCACGGATGGGGTTTCGTACCTCCGGAGAGCTTGCCGGGGGGTGGAGGAGCAGCCCTCATCGGGTAGTTCTGGCCGCGCGCTTTGCTTGGAAGTCCTCTGGGCTGGCTCACGTCCTTTCTGGTGGGTCCTGCAAGGCACCCGGGAATTCGCTCAAGCAGGGACCGTTTGCTCCTGCCACAGCCTCCCCCTCCCCCTCCCCCCCTTCTGGCCGTTGGCACTTACGGGCGTTCTTTGGGAGTCCAGGGCCGATGCTGACCTGCAGCACTTTATTGCTTGGCCGGAGAACGGCCACGTCTCCCTGACCTTGGCTGAACTGCACTTGGCGGGAGCCACCAGCCTTCCACGGCCCCCAGGTCTCCTTCTTCAGCTTCACCTCCAGCCTGGCAGAGGAAGGGAGAAGAGTGGGTAACGCCCAGAAGGGGGAGGAGCCAGAGCCTCCCCCTGGGTGGGCCTCCTTGGGGCAGGACCCTCCGGGGCACCGCTGGGACTCCTGAGGGAGGCTCCCTGTCTCTGCAGCATGTTCTCCCTACATCTTGGGTGATAAGAAGGTGCGCGGACCTGAAGTCAGGTGAGCAAACAACTCAGCTGCCTCCGCCCCCCGCAGGACGTGGGCTGCTGACAGAGCGGGGGTGGGTGGGGGGTGGATTTGCTGTCTCAAGCAAAGCTAAAGATAACACCTCCGCCCCTCCCCCCATCCCATCATCTCCGACCAGGGAGCTCAGGAACGTCCCAACCGGCGGAGGAGGAGGAGTGAATGGGGGCCCCCGGGGCCGCCTGGGGCGAGGGCCACTCACGTGTTGCTGAACTTCAGGGGGAGCCGCCTCTGCGTCTTCTCCTCGTAGCGCTTTGACAAGAGGCTCAAGAACTCGGTCTTGAAGACGGACTCCAGGAGGCTGTCGTACTCCTGCTCGTGCAGGACAAAGAGGTCGTCCTGCAGGGGGCTGGGGAAGGAAAGGTCGGGGCACCCGAAACTCAGGGAGGAGGATTCTAGGCAAACACCTGCTTTTGTCTCTAGCTTTACAGGAGCCTGCAAGTTACATCCGCGTGTCCTAAAAACAGCACCAAGGCCAGGCAGTCTCCATATCTCAGTCATAAAACTCAGAAGCTCCGTTTAACTACTTTTTGCAGCATTCTTTCCAAAAGCCGCCCTGTTACTGCGATGCCTTTAAATAAACATGGCAGGTAGTCACGGTAACCTTTGTCGGAATATCAGGAGCTGCAATCCATCTGGGACTAAGTAGACTTTGCCCAATTTCTGATCCGTGTGTGCCGCCTCTTAACTGCAGCCAGGGGGCAAGATGACAAAGGCAGCCCCACCCCCACCCCGCCCTGGTC